GATTATGTAAAGGATTATATGTCTTGTAGAATTAAGCAAGATGAATTTTATGCGCAACCAGCCATAATGCCTGAAGGAGAATACAAAATTGATGAATGGGAAATTTTCAGAGTCACCGAAAGAGCTGATCCATCTCAAAGAGCTATTCAAAATACATATAGAAATTATAATCGAGCAAAATTTGATCGAGAAATATATAAACGATCGAAATTTGATCGAATTCCACCTCGAATCTATTCACCTGACCTGAACTATTCATAGAATGTATTGACGAATTGAATTTTGTACTATTGCTTGCGTCATGGATTGATAGAAAAGAAGTTCCATATACTTATTTGAACATGCAATTTCAATTTAAACATCTGTTTGACGTATTATTTAGTTCAAAAAAATTTATAGAAGACATCTTTCTTTATAAATTAAAGAAATATCCACTCAAATGAAAGTATGAAAAAAGTTAAATTTGTCAATGAAGTCATTATTTCGGCTACGTGTTGTGGAGTAATGGAATAGTTTAAGAACGAGATTATTCTTAAAAGTTAGTAGTAAACATGTATAGCTCAGCGTAAGCAGGCAGGACAAAGCTTTTCCAGCGTTTATAACATGACTTTCTACTGCATAATATTTGAATTAATAAAATAGTAACAAGTAATCTTTTACAGCTCAAATTTTTGACATGAACAGCATTATAAAACTTGGATTCTATTTTAAACAAAAATTTTATTTTAAATTTTCAGTTAGTCTGCAATGGCATAAATATATTCTTTTGCCTTCATTTCTGAAACTTTTCGAGTATATAATCTATTTTTTTCTTTTACATAAGATATCGGATTTTACGTTATTTCCTTATCTTAAATGAAAACTATATGATTATTAAGAGAAAGATTGAAGAGATTCATCTGCGAGAAGCTTCAGAAAAAATGTATGGTTTTTCATATAAATTTATTTAAATACACTACAATAAACGTTAATTTTTTTTTTTTAATCAAAGGTTTGGAGGCGATGTTAATATCAAATATAGAATTACAGAAATTTATATTGTGTTCATCCGATGAAAAAATTGTAACGTAAACAAAACATTCATGTGAAAGAAAAATCAATTGAAAAAAAATGCAAATTCTAGTATAGTCACGTGACCAGCTTTTTTAAAAGAATAATAATAAAAAAATTTTAATCCCAAAAAAAGAACAATTGATTAAATCAATCATCGAATGATGAAAGAATTCTTTCTATTTCGAAATTCTCACGTTGGCGATAGTATGGCGTACCACGCTACATGGGATTATTATACAGTAATTGACTTAAAAAGGAATGTTGTATATAAATGTCGTGGGAATTAATATAGGATAACAAATTTTTTTCAAAATTAATTTA